TGAACTGGACACAGGACATGGATTGCTTTTCTTTCTTTGGTTTTAGTAATTGTAATGAGTTTCTGCAGCTTCCTGACTGCTTAGCCTATCACGTTAGTTTGCTCTGGCTGCAATAACAAAGTACCTGAACTGGGTGGCTTAAACAACAGAAAGTTGTTTTTCATAATTCCAGAGGCTAGAAGACTAAGACGAAGGTGTTGGGGGGGGTGGTTTCTGCTCAAGCTTCTCTCCTTGGCTTGTAGACCACATCACAGCGACACCCTCTGTTTGTGCCTGGGTTCTAATCCCTTTTCCTCCTAGGACACCTGTCATATTGGATTAGGGTCTATCCCAGTGACCTGGTTTCACATTGTTTATCTCTTTAAAGACTCTGTCTTCAAATACAGTAATATTCTGAGGTCCTGGGCTTAGGAGTTCAACACAGAAACTTTTGGGAGACACAACTCACCTATAACACCCATGGTCCTTATAAAATCCCTGATCTCCAGGACCACCCACACTCCTACACTCCCATGCCCAAGGGACACCTGGAAAAGGTTGATACTCTCTGTGCCACTCTGAAAATTAATGGAGATTATTGCTTTCCCCAGAAGGTACTTGTCTCACATCAACATCTTACCCCCAGGGAAAGGACCACTCACTCTCCAGGAACTTCTCCTACTAATCCTCTCCAGGATCCTACCATGACCTTCTGCCCTGCATCTCTAACCATCACAACCACTCTTTTTCCTTGGTTACACACAAATGCCACTAATCCTTACATATACCTTCCTAATTTACCCATTGTTATCCTCCAAAAACATAATTGATCAACTTGCTACCTTGACACAAGCAACACACCAAGTAATATTATTCAAATATATGTGTAGTTGTCAAGTGCACTGAAATCGTGTTGTACAAATTCAATGCAATTCCCATCAAAATGCCAACATCATTCTTCACAGAACTAGGAAAAACAGTCCTAAAACTCTTATGGAATCAAAAAAGAGCCCCCATAGCCAAAGCAAGACTAATCAAAAAGAACAAATCTGGAGGCATCACATTACCTTATTTCAAGCTATACTATAAGGCCATAGTCACCAAAACAGCATGGTACTGGTATAAAAGTAGGCACATAGACCAATGGAACAGAATAGAGAACCCAGAAATAAACCCAAATAGTTACAGCCAACTGATCTTCGACAAAGCAAACAAAAACGTAAAGTGGGAAAAAGGCACCCTATTCAACAAATGGTGCTGGGATAATTGGCAAGCCACATGCAGGAAAATGAGAATGGGTCCTCGTCTTTCACCGTACACAAAAATCAACTCAAGATAGATCAAAGACTTAAATCTAAGACCTGAAACTATACAAATTCCAGAAGATAACATTGGAAAAACCCTTCTAGACATTGGCATAGGCAAGGATTTCATGACCAAGAACCCAAAAGCAAATACAATAAACACAAAGATAAATAGCTGGGACTTAATTAAACTAAAGAGCTGTTGCACTGCAAAAGGAACAGTCAGCAGAGTAAACAGGCAACCCACAGAGTGGAGAAAACTCTCACAATACATCTGACAAAGGACTAATATCCGGAATCTATAGTCAACTCAAACAAATTAGCAAGAAAGAAACAAACCAACCCGTCAAAAAGTGGGCTAAGGACATGAATAGACAATTCTCAAAAGAAGATATACAAATGGCCAACAAACATAAGAAAAAATGCTCAACATCACTAATGATCAGGGAAATGCAAATCAAAACCACATGCGATACCATCTTACTCCTGCAAGAATGGTCATAATCAAAAAATAGAAAAAATGCATGTTGACATGGATGCAATGAACAGGGAACACTTCTAACTACCGGTGGGTGTGTAAACTAGTACAGCCACTGTGGAAAACAGTGTGGAGATTTCCTAAAGAACTAAAAGTAGAACTACCATTTGATCCAGCAATCCCATTACTGGGTATCCACTCAAAAGAAAAGAAGTCATTATACAAGAAAGATACTTGCACACGCATGTTTACAGCAGTACAATTTGGAAGTGCAAAAATGTGGAACCAACCCAAACACCCATCAATCAACGAGTGGATAAAGAAACTGTGCATATATATATATATATAGGAATACTGCTCAACCATAAAAAAGAATGAATTCATAGCATTCACAGTGATCTGGAATTATGCTAAGTGAAGTAACTCTGGAATGGGAAACCAAGCATCGTATGTTCTCACTCATAAGTTGGGGCCAAGCTATGAGAATGCAAAGGCATAAGAGTGATACAATGGACTTTGGGAACTCAGGGAGAAAGGGTGGGAAAAGGGTGAGGGATAAAAGACTACAAATAGTGTGCAATGTATACTGCTCGGGTGATGGCTGCACCAAAATCGCACAAATCACCACTAAAGAACTTACTCTTGTAACCAAACGCTACCTGTTCCCCAATAACCTATGGAAATAAAAGCAATTTTAATGAAATAAAATAAAATCATGTTGTACATACGAATATATACATAATCACACTTTTAAATACACTTTGCAACCCCACCCAGATACTGTTAGAGACTCTGGAAATTTCAGATCTACTTCATTGGCTAATAGCATATTCACGGAGAGCTGAACTATGGATCTGTAGGATTTGTAGGTAGCCAAGCTACGGACCACCTACAAAGATCCCCTGTGCTTCCTGCTCCCTCCTTCTACTCACATGTCTATTTAAAGTCTTCCTGCTGTTTAGGGCATCTGACACCCTGCTCTGTAATGTCTCATCTCTCATGACCCTAGCGCTGTCTCAATATGGCATCCAAGCATCACCAGGCCAATCATGTAATCATCGTTTTTATTTTCTGTGCTTCTGATGCCTTTCTGGGCTTGCATCCTGGAAAGGATGCCCTACCAGGGCTGGCCAATTACTACAGATGGTCAAGGTCCCCCCAGTGAATGCCTTTCCTGTGAAGTCTCACCAGGGCAAGCCCTGTGCCAGCCACCTTCTCCATGGGGCTCGCACACTCCAGGCCACAGTTCCCCTGCACAGATGCCCCCAGAGTCAGGCACCAGACAGCCAGCAACAATCCCCGTGACTCGGAACCCTGGGTAATCATGCAAAGCAATCAGTCCCAAGCCTGCCTACCCTGCTTTCGCTGGTTCCTCCCCCAGGAAGAACTAAACCTCTGCCTCCAGATTGACCCGGATGCTTGCAATGTGGTCATGATGGCAAGAACAGCCCTGCCACTGCACGCTGTCAGTAGCAGACTGTTTTTCAACCACAGTAGTCTCCTGGCCTGTGGGCCTCACCACAACTGAGTAAGAATTAAGCCTACATTTAAAAACCACAAAAAGTTACGTATGGAACAGAGTTGCCTGGAATTACAGACACAGACATGCACACACACACATGCACACGCAGGCACACATTTCACTGCTAAGTTCTGAATAAGCTCAGTGAATCATGCCACTGTCAATTTCCTGTTTTGAAGACTGTTCTATATAAATGCAAGCTGCTGACAGTGGAAGGCTGTGTGAAGGGTGTGGGGGACCCATCTCTATATATATGTCAACAAATTGGAATGTATCTATAATAATTTTGAGATAAAAGGCTTTAAAATATTTTTCCAAGGTTTATTTTAGGATCCCATGATCTGGTGCTGACTAGGGAGTTGGACGGGTATCTGTGAGAGCCCCATAAACAAGAAAGCCAACTCTGAAGTGTGCACCTCGCTCCTCCCTTATTCCTTTCCCAGGCTGCGCTGCATTGCCGAGGGAGGGGAAGCGACCTGCAATCACAGGGTGACTGGCCTGAGGCCCTGAGTCCCGGAACTACTGAACACACCTGGAATGATTACCTAAGTATTTCCCCCTCCAAGGGGAAAACAAATGCTCTGATCCTCATCAGCCACCATGAACTGGCTGCTGAGATCTTTGCCCCAGTGAAAGTCCCAGGGGATAAAGAGGATCTGGCTGGGCGCTTCCTCTCCCTGCACGGGAGAACTGTGGAGTGGCCAGTTCAGGAGGGGTCAACTCTCTCTGCTGGGTTAGGAGCACATGAGGCCCAAGGCAGGTTCATGTTGGGAACTGCAGCATCCCTGTGCCCACCCCAGGTCGTGGCACGTGGCATGGCTCCGTATCAACCAGAGGAATGAGTGAATAAAAGGCGTCTGAGTCCTTGTTGGCCCAATCCTGTCTCTCCTGTTGCCAGAAACATTTCTGGAACCACACCCAAGATTCCCACCCCACATGACCCTTCCATCTCCTCACAGCATCCTCAGGACCTTCCCCAGGGGACAGCACGGGAAGCAGAGGACCCAACACTCGCTGCTGGAACGAGGTCTGGTCCATGAAAGACGAGGCCTGGGGCATGAGGTTGACACGATCAGCTGGGGAACACACGTCCCTCGAGACTCAGTTGTATCACTTGAAAGTGGGGATGTGTCAGGACAAGTGACCACAGGGGCCTTTTTACTCTACCCTGCAGGACCCTGTTCCAGGTGACAACTTTCAGAGAGCTCAGGGCATGCTCGAGCTGCCTGGGAGGCAGGCTGCAGGAGGGAGCTTGACTGCACTCTGAGGTGCTGGGATCCCACTTAATGACTCTGACACAGTCTGCACAGAAGCCATGGCCAGGGGAGAGGAACAGGGACATGAGAGAGTAGGCAGGAGGGCAAGGGACAGAATCACGGTGCCCTTGCATGGCCACACGAGGAGCCTGGAGCCAGCGTTGGGAGGGGTAGAGTCAAGCTGTCCAGAGGGCACTGCTTGCTGGAGAAGGGGCCGGGTGGGGCTGGGGACAAGGCCAGGCCCAGCCAGCAAGATCGTCCCCAGCTGTGCCCTGGCCTTGCTGTTTGGTAAACCTGGAAGGCCCCAGTCCTGCAGGCCCTGGGGAGTTCCATTTATGCAGGAGCTGGCTGGACAGAGGGGTGACTCAGGACGCTGCGCACGTGGGAAAGAAGAAGGGTGGCCTGGGGTCAGGCAGAGGGAGGCTGGTGGCCAGGCTGGGACCCTGGGTGCAGAGGCACGATTAGTTGATCGCTCTGAAAGTGAGGAGGGGGAACGTGCCGGGCCTCAGTATGAAGCTGTAGACCATCTTTATATCCTCTTTGGTTAGTGTCTCCACCAGGAAGTGTTTCAGCACCTAGGACAGAAGCTGGGTTTCCATCTGGCCTGGTCAGCAGCCCATGGACCTGGGGCAGCTTCCTTCCATCCTCCCAGGTGCAGCAATTATGCTGAAGGGGGAGCAGCAGCCTGGGCCCCAACCTGTCCCATTCCTGACCAGCCCCATCTTACAGACCAGGCCCAGACTGAATCCTACCCAGGTCTTGCCCAAGCCCCATTATCCTGTACAGGCTCCACCCCACTCCCCTAGTCCCCACCTCACTGTTTAGAAGTAACCTCACCCAGACCCTACACTGTCTTGCTCAGCACAGACCCTCTCTGGTCACGCGGACCTCAACCAGCCAAGGCCCCATCCGGTTCCCAGATGTCAATCACACCATGCAAGCCCCGCCCCCAGGGTGCAGGCCCCGCCTCTGCTGCCCAGGTCCCGCCCCCGCCCCCGGGCCTGCTCACATGGTGCAGCAGCAGCAGCATCTCCGTTTCTGCCAGGCGCCGTCCCAGGCACTGGCGCATGCCAAAGCCAAAGGGCACGTTGTGGAAGTTCTTTCCAGGGCCCCTGATGTCTAGCCAGCGCTGGGGATTGTAGCGCTCAGGCCTCGGGAACAAGGCCGGATTGCGACCCAGCGAGTAGAGGAAAACCTGCACCAGTGTCTGCGGACGGTGCAGAGCGGGGATCAGGGAATGACTGGGGAGGGAGGTTCTCAGCTGGAGGGGTGTGGGGCTCACTCACCCCAGCTGGGATGTGGTAGTTCTGAAGCACCAAGTCTGAGCTCACCACTCGCTCCAAAAACAGACCCACAGGGTAGAGCCTGGAGGTGGGGGGCATCCACAGAAAGGGTCCTCAGCTGGACGGGGCTTCCCGTGCCCTCTGCAGCCTTCCTACCCAAGAGCCCGCTAGAAGTCCCCGGCCCACGGGAAGCCCAGGTCGTGAGGAAGTGTTTCCTGGCACCTGCTGAGTCCAGCCAAACCTCCCCTAACCTGAGCAGCCCCAAGCCCAGAAGGACATGCCCCACGTTAATCCCAGGGCGTTGAAGAGAGATTCCAGAGGAAGAAGAGCTCCCTGTCCTTGAGGGAGAGGAAGAGCAGGTGCAGGGGGAATGGGCTGCTGGGTGACGCTGCTTATCAGCCCAGCTTCTGTCTGCCACCACCCAGTGGGGGCTGCTCTCCAGCAGGGGCCAGGGCCACAGGGAAGGCTCAGCCAGCACCCACCTCAGGGTCTCCTTGAGGGCCGCCCGCAGCAAGGGCAGCTCGGTGGTTGCCTTCTGGGGATGTTCACTGATGCTGGCGGCGGCGGCCAGGCTCTCCTGGCGCAGGGCCTGCTGCACGTCGGGGTTCCGAGCCAGCTCAAAGAGTGTCATCAGCAAGGGAAACGCCGTCTGCAGGAGCCACAGCTGCAGGGTCAGACCTTGCACAGGAGGACTCAGCCCCCGGGACACCCCTCCCAGGACAACCTCCCTGTGAGGGGTGGAGACATGCATGCCCTGAGCATGACAGAGCTCTGGGACCCTGGATCTGAAACCTTGATGACCACTTGGGCCAGTTTCCCTGACTTCTTCAGGGAAAGATGACCCCCATCTCTACCAAGGCCCAGGTCCCCTGCAGCCTCTTCAGGGTGGGTTCTCACAGCCACCATTAGGGCAGGGGGGCCAAACCTCAGCATCATCCAGGGAGTCGACCTGGAGCCCCAGCTCCCTCTGCTTCCATTGGGTTCTCCCCATGGGGCACCCACAGTTCCCTCTGCACTGGCTGGAGCCTGTGCTGCTGTCTTCCCCACAACCCTGCCCTCCCATGGATCTCCATTTCTGGCCCCAGGTGACCAGGCACACTGGGAAGGGTGCCCTGTGGAGTCCTCCAGCCACCTCTCAACCCTCCTTCTCCTCGTACACCCAGAGCTTTCCAATGGGGACTGAGCTGCTGTGTGTCCAGGGCCTCGTCCAGCTGTCTTCCAGCCTGGAGCACATTTCCCCACACAGGTAACTGCAAACTCTGTCTCCTGTGAGGGGGAGCTCCCATTTCCCCTCCCCTGCAAATCTCATCCCTTAATAAATGGAGGGGGAAGGCTGAGGGCAACAGAAATGTAGGGCCCGTAGCCTGGGGATGGGGCATGTGGGTGCTGTGTGGCATTGGCAGGCACTGCCTGGGAGGCAGGCTTGGCATCACCCTCTCTGGGTGGGGCTGGTTGCCGGCCTGACCGTGTCCACGCTCCCTGCAGTGAGTTCCATAGAGTTGGCCTTGATGGCTTCTAGTGACAGTTCTGCATTCAACAGGAGTTCCGCCACGATGCCTGTATAGTGCTGAGGGCGGCTGAAGGCCAGTTCCTGATAGATTTTCTGGATACAGTTGTCGCCTGTCCGGGGAGCGGGACACAGCCCTCAGACCTTGGTGCTGGGAAGCGTCCTTCAGTGTCCTCCTCCTGCCCAGGCTGCCCCAATACCCAAGTCTCCCTGCTCTCATCCCAAATTCTCCGGATCAGCCCAGCCCAGCCCAGCCCCAGCCTCACTCCCAATCTCCCTGGCAGGAAGGTGAGGAATCCCCAGCCCCTCCCTGTGACCTCCATTCCCCGCTGAGTGGTAGAGAGGGAGAAATTGGGCCCCCATGGTGTCCCTTCTCCATAGCACTGCCTGGGTCCCTGGCCTCACCGTACTGGAAGATGCAGTCCCAGGCCTCAAAGTGCTCCTTCCACACCTTGGGGCTGGTCCAGCGAGACAGGCTCCTGGGCATGAACATGAGCTGGACGGTGGATTTGAACATGACCTCCAGGGCATGGAGGAAGTTCAGGCTGGCAGAGCTGGGGCTGTGACCAACCAGGCCCAGCCGCTCTCCAAAA